CTCCGTTTTCAGCTGCAATGGTCTCCTGCAATCCTCTGCCAGGGAAAACGGGCTCCCGAGCTCCGTTTTCAGCTGCAATGGTCTCCTGCAATCCTCTGCCAGGGAAAACGGGCTCCCGAGCTCCATTTTCAGCTACAATGGTCTCCTGCAATCCTCTGCCAACGAAAATGGAGCTCGGGAGGGCCGTGCGCAGCCCTCCCTAGCTCCATCTTCGCTGGCAGAGGCACCATAGGCCAGTTCTTTGCTGTTTCCAGGGTGGCCCTGCGGGCCAGATCGAAGCACCCCAAAGGCCAGATCTGGCCCCTGGGCATTCAGTTTGACACCCTAGCTAATTTAGGACTGCAGTTGAGTCAATGGGGAAGCCAGATTGCTAATTTAACAACTGCAGTGATTTACTGAATGGCTGGGCCAAGAAAGGTTGTAAAACGGGGTCCTTAGCTGTCTTCGCTTAGCAACGAAATATTTGAGCTCAATTGTGGTTTGCAAATTGAGGATTATGTGGTCTGTGCTTACATGTCAACCTTCGAAGTGGCAACAACGCTACTTGATTTAGATAAGAGCTGATTTAGATAATGCAATTATACATTATCTGTATATATACTGTATATCCCCCTTGAGCTCTCAAAGAAAAAGTTAGGAAATAAAGAAATATTCCTGGCGTTATTATTTTTCTGTGCCCTTATTTTTTTCTATTCCCTTTCTTCCCCGTGTAGATTTCTGATTCCAATTGCCTTTCAGCAGACGAACCGCCCAGTTCCCGTCGTTTATTCCCTCAACACGGAATTTCAGCTCTGCAATAACGAAAAAGTTTTTCTCATGGACCCAACCAAAACGGAGATGCCGATGGCCGAGATGGACTACAAGGGAGCCTTTTCCAAAGGTACGATCTGCGTTTCGAGGTTTGGACGGGGGCATGGAGCTCTCTGGGGGAACGGCAAGGAAAACAGGCGGGAAGGTAACAGAAATGCTCTACGGGAAAATAGGCCCGGGTTGAATGGCAGAATAAGAGAAACGGCGGCTGATTGGATGGGCATAATGCTCTTCTTCCTGGAATCACTTTCTGAAGAGCTGTGGTGGCGCATTGGTTAGATTGCAGTACTGCAGGCTAATTCTGCCGACTGCCAGCAGTTCGATCCTGACTGGTTCAAGGTTGACTCAGCCTTCCATCCTTCCAAGATGGGTAAAATGAGGTCCCAGATTGTTGGGGGCAAGAGGCCGACTCTGCAAACCGCTTACAGAGGGCTGGAAAGCATTGTGAAGCGGTATATAAGGTGTATAAGTGGTATATAAGTGCCGGCTGTTGGGTGCCTGGAGTTTGGCAGTTCTAATCTCACCAGGCTCAAGGTTGACTCAGCCTTCCATCCTTCTGAGGTGGGTAAAATGAGGACCCAGATTGTTGGGGGCAATAGGCCGACTCTGTAAACCGCTTAGAGAGGGCTGTAAAGCGGTATATAAGTCTAAGTGCAAGACAGACATTAGGAAGGTGTGGCATTCGGCTGATCCATCCATAATGGAGAAGTCAGCAAGGCTGTTCTCCTTCAGTGGCATTTGAAAAGCCAATCTGGGCCCAATTAGTTCACCAAAACATCAAAGGCACACATGTAGTCTTTGACTTACAACCACAGCCGAGCCCAATATTTCTGTTGCTAAGCAAGACAGTTGATAACGTGAGTTTGGGTCCTTTTGATGACCTTTTTGACCCAGTTGTCGGTGGGCTGTTGTAACTTCAAATGATCACCTGATGAATGGTTGTAAGTCAAGGACTTACCTGTATATAGCTAGCAGTCCCCCGGGCTCCTATAAAACCGTAACAGAATGCAGATCTTAGCTTTTATATAAAGTTGGCATTTTTAGAACCTGGTGTTCCATTCTTCTTCAAACGCGAGAAGCAGACAAGGAGATTTGGTTCCACCACAAAACCGCGCCCGACTAAACCGCGTCGCTGACGTCATCAACAGGGCGACAACAGTGAGCGCGGAGAAAGAAGGGCGCTTTAAATAGCGCTTTGAAAGCAAGCCGATTTAACTTAAGGTAAGGGTTAGATTTAGGGTTAGGTTTAGGGTTAGGTTTAGGGTTAGGTTTAGGG